CTCATGGTGGACTTTATTATGTATTGGTTATCACGTTTGAAAAAACATTCATAGAAACAATCAGAAATAAAGGATGAAGAAATTATTTTCATTTGCTTTTCCAAGCACTTGAGGCCCCTTACCTGACTAGATCTTAATCTAAATTCTGAGATTAAGGTTCCCTTAACTGTCCAGGTAAGGAAACTGGGTTCTCTGGTCTTTTGTAAGCCTTTAGTTTAATGGAATAATTGGAGTATCAGAGTCTCCACTTAGGGGTGCCCTAGGCTTTTGACTTCTGTGCCCTTTGATAAGGCCATCAAACATAACTTTGAGTGCTAAACTTACTCTCCTGGTTTTAACATTCTCTTAGATTAGATTTTAGACAGGTGAATTATTCATGATCCTTTTAGCTCTTTTTTTTTTTTTTAAATGTTTTTTTATTTATTTCTAGGAGAGAGAGAGAGACAGCGTGAACAGGGGGGGGTCAGAGAGAGAGGGAGTCACAGACTGAAACAGGCTCCAGGCTCTGAGCTGGCAGTCAGCACAGAGCCCGACGTGGGGCTCGAACCCACGAACCGCGAGATCATGACCTAAGCGAAAGTCGGACGCCCAACCGACTAAGCCACCCAGGCGCCCCCCTTTTAGCTCTTCTAAGGATATTTAAAAATATGCTTCATCCTGCTGGTCTTCCATAGAATTGGTTTGAATTACTTGGGCCATAGTTGCTGAAAACATAAGTATGGAATACTTTTTAAAATATTATGTCCGATAATTCTAATAGTTATAGATGTACCCGAGTACATATTCTTACCCTATATGCAGGAATATGCTAATGCGTGGAAATGTGAACATGTACTGCTAAATACAAAAGCAGAATATGATCTTAGGAGCACTTTATGGAATAATTTTAAGAACCCTTGACATCTTCATACAATGCTTTTTCCTTTCTTTTTTTTTTTTTAATGTTTTTTTTTTTTAAATTTTATTTATTTCTAGGAGAGAGAGAGAGACAGCGTGAGCAGGGGAGGGTCAGAGAGAGAGGGAGTCACAGACTGAAACAGGCTCCAGGCTCTGAGCTGGCAGTCAGCACAGAGCCCAACGCGGGGCTCGAACCCACGAACCGCGAGATCATGACCCAAGCGAAAGTCGGACGCTTAACCGACTAGGCCACCCAGGCGCCCCGCTTTTTCTTTTCTTATGGCAACAAATGTAGTTATGACCATTGTTCTTAAGTTATACTAAGAATTTGCATAACTTTTACAGAATTGCCAATAGTAATTAATGCCTATGTATTTCCTAGTTAAGAGTATCTGATTGATTCTATTAAAGGCGGAGAAGAGGGGCACCTTGGTGGCTCAGTCAGTTAAGGGTCTGACTTTGGCTCAGGTCATGATCTCACGGTTCGTGGTTCGACCCCGTGTCAGGTTCTGTGCTGACAGCTCAGAGCCTGGAGCCTGGTTCAGGTTCTGTGTCTCCCTCTCTGCCCCTCCCCCACTTGTACTCTGTCTCTCTGTCCCAAAAATAAACTATAAAAAATGTATTAAAAAAATAAAGGCAGAGATGAGAAATTTGTCCCCTGGTGTCTCTAAATGGAGAGGAATGATTTTATCAAGGGGCAAATATTTATACCCAGCAGAATTTAAGTAGAAAGATTTAGATTAAACAATAACACTAACCTAGTAGTACTGTGGATCTTGGCAATGGGTCAGTGGTAAATCTCTGTACCTGCCACTAACACCAAGACCCTCCTCTCTTAGGGTTCATGATTAAAAAAAGAAGGAAAAGAATCCTATTGTCAGCAGAGAACTGGAAGTGATATGGTGTGCCTGAACATTCCTGTGTTGGTTGGGGAACAGAAAAAAACAAACTAACCCTTTTGTTGATGTGTGTTATCTTTGTATTCTAAAACATTCATGCTAATAGCAATTAACATAACTTTAATTAAAAGAATAAGGTTAAGACCTAGGCCAGGGTGAAGTTATTCTCAGTTTTGACAGGCTCTAAGTTCTATGTTTTACATGGATTATAACTAAAGAATAAATATATGAAAAACATAGAAGTATATTTAAAATTTTTGTTTTTATTTTTGAGAGAGACAGAGCACGAGCGGGGAAGGGGTAAAGAGAGAGAGGGAGACAGAATCTGAAGCAGGCTCCAAGCTTTGAGCTGTTGGCACAGAGTCTGACGTGGTGCTAAAACTCACAGATGGTGAGATCATGACCTGAGCCGAAGTCGGACGCTTAGCCGACTGAGTCACCCAGGTGCCCCAGAATATAGATATTAAATGATATAAAAAATAAAATTGGGGGGTCTGTTTCTGATGCAGTCATTCAAATGCATAAGTTAAAAGAATGTGAATTGTATCCATACATGTATTTTAAAGTCGCTTTCCCCCCCAGAATATAAAGTAATGCATACTTGAAAATGACTTTTCTTTTTCCTTATTTCCAATGATATGGCAAGTGCAGTGCTAAAGTCCTAGAAAATAGTAATGAAAATTCTGAGACCTATTTTTAATATTTTAAAAGTCTGGTACAAATCACATATTTTTAAAAATCTGCACAAGCTAATGAAAATATTGTCTCTTTGATTTTGGCTGGCATTACACTTGGTGGTATGATGCTGATTACCACACTATGGAAATTCTGATTGGCCCAGTCAGTTAAGCATCTGACTTTTGATTTTGACTCAGGTCATGATTTTACAAGTTCATGGGATCGAGTCCTGCATCAGGCTCTGGCTCTGCCCTGAGCACACAGAGCCTACCTGGAATTCTCTCTCTGCCCCTCCCCAGCTTGTGCATACACTCTTTAAGTATTTAAAAAATGTATCACATGAGAAGAACATACTTGATAACAACAGCTATTCAAAACTTACAGACCATGTAAGATATTATTTTAAAAAGCTGTCCTGATAATGAAAATGTTGGAACTGCCCTAAAGTACCACTTAACCCCCATTACTACATCATTCTTTCATCCCTCTGGTTATATGGTTTGAGAAACTTATGTCCCAAATGTCTCATGATTCAAGAGACAACCTAAATAATCAGTCAATCCCATTGGACAGATCCCTCATGGGAACGAGGAGTTTGCTACAGGTTTTAAAGGCTCCAGTGTTATCAGAGGAAAAAGAATCAATCAATTGTACTGAAATCTTACTTTCCTAGAGAAGATCTCAGTACTTACAAACTGTATTAAAGACTGCTGACCTATCTTAATGTTTTCAGGCAAAAGCTCCTGTTCAAAATCAGACTCACATGCATAAAGGGATGGAAATCTAAGATTCCAAAATGTAGTGTTTTCTTTAAAGTTTTATTTTGAGAGAACGTGCATGCACACACAAGTAGAGAAGAGGCAGGCAGAGTGTGGGCAAATTCCAAGCAGTCTTTGTACTGTCAGCCCAGAGCCCCACACAGGGCTTGAACTAACTGTGAAATCTTGACTTGAGCCCAAACCAAGAATTGGGACACTCAAATGAGATACTCAGGTGCACGTGAGTTGATATTTTTAGTTAGCTAACTTCTACAATTTTAAAATCAGGGGATTAATAAAAATTTTGCATAGAGCCTTTTGTGGGGTTGGTAACTAAGTGTTGACCACCCTACATTAAGTGTCGACAAGACACAAATACCCAACTAGAGAACATCTGAAGAAACCCCTTCATGCAACCTCATCAATGATAGCAAATTCAGTAAATTTCGGTCAGTTACCATAAAAGTCACCAACTGCAAGAGCCTTTTAAAGGAGATAGCTTTCAAAGATACAATTTCTCTGAAACCAACCTTAAAATATTTATGTATGGATAGGCATATTTCTGTCAGAAGAGAATTCATTTTTGGTCAGATTCTCAAAAGGAATCTCCAGCCACTGGAACAGCGTTAAGGAAACTAATCTGCAGGATAGTCGTTTTGTTTTTAAATTAGAGAGAGAAAGCACGTAACAGGGGAGGGGCAGACAGAGGGAGGGAGAGAATCTCAAGCAGGCTATACAGTCAGCACAGAGCCATTAAAGGACTAGATCTCACAAACCATGACATCATGTCCTGAGCTGAAATTGAGTAGGCAGCTTAACCAACAGAGCCACCCAAGCACCCCAAGATACCATTTCTTACATATTTCTAATTCGTGTTGGCCTTTAATAAACTCAAACCTTAATCATTGTTAAAATGTTGAAATATCAATGTTAAAAATATTTAACACTTTTAGTTTCTAAGTAAATCAGAAATTATACTGACGATCCTTTCTAAAACCGTAACTCCAGGCACCTGGATGGCTTAGTCGGGTTGAGCGCCTGACTCTGGATTTTGGTTCAGGTCATGATCTCATGGCTTGTGGGACTCTTCCCCTCTCAAAACAAACTTAGAATAACACAAAATCTTACAAGTTACTCCCAACACCCTTTGATAACTAATAGACCTCCCCTCAAATGGGGGTACACCTCTCTTTTTTAAAAAGGATTTTAAGTTTTCTCTACATCCACCGTGGCACTTAAACTTACATCCCTGGGATCTACATGCATGCTCCTCTAAGCCAGACAGGAAACCCAAGGGGGTAAACTTCTTAAATGACTGCTAAAATAAAACCAGGGATCAAACTGCCACATAAATACAAATCAAGTCTTCAGAACGTTCATTTTCCTGTAATCCCTAGGACAGCACTATATTTTATCCTAGTTTATAAAAAGCAGTGAAGTGTCAAATTCTTAATATCCCTAATTATATAAATGTAACTCAAACTACACACTAATAAAATCAAGTTTCTATTAGAATAAGGAACACCACACACAACTTGGTCAAAACTGTTCAGATGGCATACTTAAGTGCCTAGAGCACTTTTCTCGGCTTATTTAAAATTTACATATTTCATTTATAGAGCCTAAATTCTGAATTAAGAGTCCAAAGCCTCCTGGGGGGGGGGGGGGACAAAGTGCACTGTTTTTTTGTAAATCTCACACAATAATCTCTAGATGAAGTGTATTTCTTCAAAGCCATATATATCAAGACTTGATTGAAGAGTTTGGATTTTGTTTAAAAAGCCTTTATTCATTTTTGACCAGGGAAAGGACAATCTCAATGTCAACTTGTCACCTAATCATAAATTTGAACTTAACAGGATTCACTGCCCTAGACACTGCACCTACAGACTTTGACAACATAACTTAAAATGAATTACCTCCCTTATTCCCTAAGGTTGCATGTTGAAAGAATAAACAGTCCCTTGCAATAACCAACATTGGTACTCGGCCTAGATTTAAGGTCAAATAGCAAAACAGGAGCAAATCGAGGCCAAGTGAATTGTAACTTGATAGCCAGCAAGTACAAACATCATTAAACAAAGTTGCAGGCACCAAATAAAAGGCAGGTTCATCAGCATAAAAAATTTACATTTTGTTAAAGGTGAGGTCAACTACTCCGCGCATATGAACATGTATGCCAATCCTCAAGGCTAATGTAGAACCACACACACACACACACACACACACACACACACAAAATGTAAAAAAAACCCCTTAAATTCAACTACACTGAATGTAAAATTCAAACCTTAAATTTACCCAGGAAATTCTCCAGTCTAGAAGCTAAAACTTTTTGATTCACCAGGAAAATCTGTTGTAATGACTTGGGTCACTTTAGATTTGCATTGTCATACATAAAATTTATATTTTTCCTCACTACTCCTTCCTATGCCTGAATATGGGATGCTTAACTACGCAGCTCATGCACTAATGCATTAAAAATGAAATCTACTAGCATGACTTTTCTAAGAACTCACATCACATTAACAGTTAACACCCAATATTGCTTCCTAAAAACACCCCAAAAGAAAACATTCAGTTTGGTGCTTGCTATGACAATACCAATAGAATACAACTGACTTCCTCAGTCACTATTTTCAAATATCTGCACCTACCTTTTGCTCAAATTTTAACCACCTCATACCTATCTGCCAAAATCCTTATAATGATCTGATACTCTTAAACTGTAGCTCCTACACACAGTTTAACAGTGCCGTTTCCCTGGGTTTATCTGTTTTAGTCAAGAAAACAAAGTCATGGTATTATGATTAGCCAAAGCCCTAACAGACCAGATTCTGACTTAGCACACATCATAATCAATGGCTTTTCAGAGACAGCAACAAAGCACAATTGCTTCTACTTATGAAAAGGAGCTACCAACATACTTGGTGTTAAAAAGGTGCACTTCTTTAAAATATAATCCAGAAGATTCACGGTCTGCTAGAAAACTTCCACTAATAACAACACTATGACAAGGTCTCAAATACACAGAGAAACGTTAAACATGTGGTGGAACCCTCAGCAGGGAAATGAAGCCTTATAGCATAGAATACATCTAACAAAAATGGGGAACAGGGACACTGTAGCTGGCTATTCATAAAGGACCACAGTTTCTCCCTATAAACCAATATTCCCTACAAAATAATCTGTGCCTTAATTATTGCTTATTTTAAATTACACTTTTACAGAGCTATTTAGTACCTGACACAGAAAAACAATCACATAAGGAAGCATTTATTTGAGGTTTAACATGAAATCATACAAATAAAATTTGTATAAACACAAATCCACATTGAGTCATAACACAGATAGCAAAAAGACAAAGTAAAAACAAAGGAAACTAATTGGCGGCTATATACAGTTGGACACAGTTGTGTCTTGTACACTAGAAAGTCTTTTACAAAATAATCATCTTAGATCAACAGAAGACCAATCTTCAATGTCGTCCTGCAAGATGGGTTAACTTTAGCAATCTCCTCCTAAAAACAAAAACAAAATAGCAATTAGATTTGTGCGACTCTGAAAGCTTTCAAAGGTCCACTTTCATGAATTGTTTTTAAGTCCTCAATTTATTCTTTTCTTCAATAATTAAAGATCATATGCATATTCAATCGCAAAATGTAGTTTGAGTAATTAATACACTCACCCTGGAGTTCCCAAATGACAGTAAATTTAAATTTGGTAAGGAATCAGGGAAAGCAACCTTCCCATATTCACAGATTAAACTGTGCTAGAGTTAGGTCTACTAGAAGCATCTCTAGTAAGCCAAAAAGTGCTCTTATAAACATGAATTCCTAATAAGCTTATCATATTATAAAAAAAACAAATTGCTGTGTGCATATGATCTTTAATTTATATCCCAGATTTTAAAGTTCTTGTTTTGGTTTGTAGATTTCACTATTAGCTATAAAAAGAAAAAGCAAGCATTAAATCTTAAAGAATGAACACTTAAAATGAGGCTCCACAATTGAAATACAACACTAAACAGAAGACCAAAATGATTAAGCTGTAAAAAGGCATTTATGTACTTTAACTCCTGTAAAAAACCATTTAAGTTAAGTTTAGACACTTAATCTTCAAAAAGATTAAAAAAGAAGCCAAAGTCTGAAGTTTTCCACTTTAATCTTTACGCTGGTACATGAAGTTGGAAGAGACCATACCACAGGACAGCGTTTTCTGGTGTATGCCTTGCGCTCTGCCCGCAACGTGCGACCCCCAGAGATAGACGTGGTCAGGGTGACACACGGCCTGCAATGAAGTTCCCGCTGGCGGGTACAAACAAGGTATAATGTCAGAGTTAGAAGACAACATTCTTGTTTTCCTTAAGTTGTACCCATTTCAGTACTTTACCTGTTAATAGTTCTAAAAAAGTTTAATTATTCCTCTAGACCACCTGGTACACAAAGCAAACAGAAAAACTCTTAAGTTTTTCTGTAATACTAAAGAAAGTGAGATAAGACTTTAAAGTTAAAGATCTATAGACACTTTAGGCAAAACAGGCTCATAAAGCAATTAAAAAATTAACAATTTAGTAAAAACAGACTACATAATATTTTGTTTTTACTTAGTTTTCATTTGTCTATTGATCTTTAAATTAAATTAGAAATTTCCACTGGTTTCTTGTACTCTTATACACACCTGTTTTCTCCAATGTTCTCCTTTAGTACGGCTGATAATTGTTTTGGTGATTGCCACCCCCTCGAGATGCCTTGCCGTAAGTGCTCTGTTGGCCTATTTTGAAAACACAAAAAAATTATGTTAAGGATGTTTCCTATAAAATGGTTTCGTTATAAATACTTTAGAAAACTATTAAACGTGTAATACTCTGCATGCCAAATATCAAAATAATCATATATTTTAAATAGCTATTATAAACTAGTCGTGTATCACATATTCCAGAACATTTCTAACCAAAGTCTTTGTTAGTAACCATCCTATGACTATCAAAAGCTTCAAAAACTCCAAACACTTTAAAAAACAGAAAACCCACACACAATTGCAGAATGGGACTGCACTTTAACACTGAGTTTAATACCATTGGTTTATGAAATTAAGTTAAATATTCTTACCACTGTAGTCTGCATATCCCTGTCCATATCCATAGTTCCCATAGTTATACCCAGTATAATCATAGCCGCCATAGCCACTATAGTTTTGATCACCACCATAGGCACTATTGTAATTTCCATATCCTTGATCATAATAGTTATTAAATCCTTGGTTCCAGTTTTGGCCCTGACCTGAAACAATGCACAATGATTGTTAGGAAACAACTTCTGACCCCCAATCATAACATAAAATGTCGTGTTCCTGTCCCTCACTCCATAAATCTTAAATAGGCAGAATGGACATCTATATTATCTGAGAGGATAAAGTTATTATTGTCATAAAAGGGGGCAGAAAGTCCAATTGTGCCAAGTTATCAAGCTTCCTAAATCAGGAGAGAGGCACTTGGGGGGCTCAGTTGGTTAAGCAACAGATTTGATTTCAGCTCTGGTCATGATCTCAAGGTTGGTGGTTCAAGCAGAGCCTGCCTTTGATTCTCTCTCCCTTTGTGCTCCTCCCCCACATGAGCTCTCTTTCAAAATAAATAAACTTTAACAAAAGAGAAAATAAGGACAAGGTGAAGACAGGTAGACCATTTAGTTTTAAAACAAGAACTTCTGCCCCCAAAAAACCTATCATGCCATGGTGCACCATATAATCTTAACCACATTAAGTGGTATTACCTTTCCATTCGTTAGTAATGGCCTGGTCAGTCAGATTGGCCATTCTTCGAAGAGGTGAAACCAGCAAACTTACAAAAACCCACCCATTAACCTGAGAATTTTTCATGTTGGAACAGTTTAAATCTAGCTTTATGTTCTTATGGGCTTATTCCCATTTAGCAGTTTACAGCTTAAGCCACTGAGCCATCTTCAAAGAATTAAGTCTCACCTCGTCCACGACCCCTAGTACCACCTCTTCCACCAGCCGCAGCACCTCTTCCTCCTTTTTGTTGTTGTTGTTGCTGCCTATAGACCTCTTTGGGTTGTGCAACTTTGATTTCACACTATAAACACATTTTTTAAAAAATACAATTTTTACTATAATGCCAAATAAATATTGTTCTCAAAATATATTGAAAAGAAACAAAACCCACACTCAAAATTTTCATTTAATAGAATCAAAATAGCTTTACCTTCCCAGAACCAATTTGATGATATCTGCTTTCTAACAATTTCTTTACTGGCTCTTCGTCTGTGTATGTGATAAAGCAAAATCCTCTTCTTTCATTTGTTTTTGTATCCATGGGAAGTTCAATATTTTCAATCTGAAATCAAGAAGCACATTCAAGATCATCCAGTAAGGATAAAAGCTACCGAAAGGTTTTAGAACACCACAGATCCTTTTCAAGCTTCAATACGTGTTACGTGTTACTCTAGTCACATTACTTCTGTACAGAAACTCCTACTTTTTTATCAACCCAAACCACAAAGATTCATCTGTGAACCATTTAGAAAGGAGAACAAAACTTTAATACCCTTTTGTACCCAACAGATGCCACTGGTTAGTAATTCCTACCACTGACCACACCAAAGCACCTGTGTTTTGGCCAAAACAAATTCGGTATGGGTTTTCATCAAAGCACAGAAAAGAGCAATTAAGGTAGTGACTAGAAAGGACCTAAGCAGTTAAATTAATCTCTTCATCAACGGTATGTTAATGTCATCTTCTCCTGTAAAAATCCAGGGAGTCTTATATAAACGCACATAAATGTACTCATATATCGCACCTCTCCAAAGGCTCCAAAATACTCTTTAATTTGTTCTTCAGACGTATCTGGGCTTAATCCACCCACAAAAACCTTTTTGGGAGGTTCTTTCCCTTTTAAAGCTTTGGCCCTTTTGGGGTCTATCAATTTGCCATCCAGTTTGTGTTCTTTCAGTTCCAAAACCTAGAAGACAAATTTATTTAATCTGACAACAATATACAACGAAACCCCCAAACAATTTGCAAAAAGTACAAAAGGAACACAAAGCAAAACCTGCTCCTACCTTATCAACACTAGCAGCATCTTTGAAAAGCACAAATCCAAATCCTCTTGATCTTCCAGTCACTGGATCTGTTTTTATTGTACAGTCTACAACTTCCCCAAATCGAGACAAATATTCAGTCAGATCTTTCTTGCTTGTATCCCAGCTCAAGCCTCCAATAAACATTTTACTAGAAATAAAGTTATTTTTTAAAAAAAGGATTAGCAGCACCTCACAGGATTACTTCAGTTCCAGAGTTACGTTATCTATGAAATAAATACGGGGAAGTTTAACCGTATATACGAGAAATCAAACCCTGGTCTACAATTCAAGTATTAAACAAAACCAACCCTAAAACTCCCAATTCCACCGAGGTCGCTTATTCGACACAGTGAACAGCTTGCTCACCATACTTCATGATACCAAGTTTAAACGACACCACCAAAGTTATGTTCGATTACTTTAGATTTACAAACTCCAACTTCCTAAGCTGATCCCTCACAACTCAGGTTCACCCTTTTCCACAGCTGTCAAGGCAACATTCCACCTCAAGAACTCATAACGCGTCCTGGGGATCCAGCTACCACCCCCACACTGATTCCCAAACCAGTAATTCCGTATCTCTCCCAAGGAAAACTGCGCGGGGTCCTAAAAGAGACACAATGAAAAGGCGGCAGCAGCTGCAGCATGTGGCGCAGCGAGGCCGGCCCCTCCCCCTCGGGCCCCACGCGGCGCCTGCGCACTCGGGACACAGACGCCGCCGCCGCCCTCCTCCTCCAACTCCTCCGCCCTTCCCCCCCACCCTCCGGTGGAGTCACCCCTCCGTCTCCTACTTTCCTTTTTCCTCTAAGCTTGTGGGGCCCGGCGGGCACGCGGGGAATCGACTCGGGGCAAGAACCGGGGTAGCGCGCGGCTCCCGAGGGATGAAAGGCGCGTGCGGCGCGCTGGGGGAGGGGGAAGAGAGAAGCGTGCGGTACCCGTCATCCTGCTGATTCTTGCTCGCGTTGATCTTGGATCCCTCTGCGAATTCCTCTATGTTGCTGTACTCGTTCATGTCCTCCATGGTGGCGGAGCTGTCGGCCGGGGGATGCTGGCGCGCAGTCCGGGTCGCGGCAGCAGCGGCGGCGGAGCGTTGTATGGAGCTAGATTTAAAATGGCGGCGGAAGAGATCCGGGCGCCGCCTGCGCCCTCCCTTTATAGCCGCCCCGCCCGCCAATCGGGAGGGCTGCTGGGCGGTGACGTGGCGCTGGGCCCGGCGCGCCCCCTGCCGGGCGGAGCTGGGAGCGAGCGAAGGGAGGAGCGGGGCGAGCTGCCGAGGCGCCCGCGGCCGCCAATGGGAAAGGCTGCGGGAGGCTAAAGTAGCGGGAGCGGAGGGGAACAATGGCGGCGGCACATGGGAGAGCCGGGGCGGGACCTCCATCGCGGCCCTCCCGGTGAGGAGCGAGGTCGCGGGTGAGGGGACGCGGGCTTAAGATGAGAGACGCGTCAGAAGACAAAAACGAAGGGGCGAAAAGTCCTGGGGTCAAAAATCCCGAGCAGCGCCGTCGCAGGGCCACAGTCCCTCTGGTCTTGAGAGCCTTTGTCTCTGGCGTCCGGTCCAGCCCACTCCTAGTAAAGAGCCGTCAACCCCGCCTTTTTCCAAAGCCCTCGGTCCCCCAGTGCGGACTCCTGCGGTGGCGGCTGCTGTTATCGACTAGCACCGTGGCCGGGTTGCTCCAGAAAAAGGCGGACTGCGCCCGGCGCCGGCGGCTGAGGCAGCGAGCGCGCTCCGCCGCGCGCACGCGTGTTTTGTCCTCGAGCTGGCTGGAACCAGCCGAACAGGAAGCGGGCACGCGGTGGCCCCTCCGGACAGCGGCGCGGCGCGGGTGCCTCGTTCGCTACCGCCACAGGCGCGCGGGCGGAGGAGGCGCGGCGGGCCTCCCTAACCGATCGGCCGGAGCCCGGGCCGACGCAGTCAGGCAAACCAGTCCCGGCACGGCCTCTTTTGCTGGCTGAGGGCGGGAGGAGGGGCGCGAGCCCGGTCAGGTTACTGTAAATATGCAAAAGCGGAGGCAGTGGGCGGGGAGGGGGCTAGGTGCCGTAGAGGGCAAGGGGCACTCACATCCCCGGCGCGCCACTCGCGGGGCTCCCGTCTGCACGTGCCCCTGGCCTCTCCCGCTTGCTCAACCAGTCTGCGGAGAGCGCGCGCGCGCCCGCGGACCCGGCTCCCGCGTTCGCTTCTTTGTTCCCGCCCACGCGAGGCCCATTTTGACGGATCGGGTTCGAGGCCCTCTGGCGGCCAATCGGCATCGACGCCTTTACCTCCCCCGCCCCTTCGGAACCGTGCGAGCGCCGCCCCTTTTCCCTGCCCACGTGGTCTCGTCCTCCGGCCCTGGGCTGCTCTGTAGTTCTGGGTCCTCGTGAGGCCGTGTGATCCACCTTTAGCGGCGTGGAAGTGGTCCTTTACCTCGCGCTTCCGGTCGCACGCGGTTGCCGGGTGGGAGATTCTTGCGGGGCTGTGGGAAGCCCAGGACGGTGCTGGGGGCGCAGCCGGCGCTGCCCTCTGCCCTTCCTACCAGTAGGCCGATTCTGGTAGTTGCATCCGGTAGGGAAATGGTCGTGCTTTCCGTGCCCGCCGAAGTCACTGTGATCCTGTTAGATATCGAAGGTACCACAACCCCGATTGCTTTCGTGAAGGTGAGGGGCGGAAGGGAGCGGGGAAGTGACTTGTGGTTAAAAGCAATTAAAAACATTTTTTTGTTTTAAGTACTGCAGACCTTGTACCACAGACACGAGGCGTAGGGGAGACGGTGTGGTTTTGCACAGCTCTGGGATGGGAGGAAGTAGAAAGGCTGCGGCAGGTTGCGGGGATCTTTTCGTCACCGCACCCTGTTCATCCTCGCCATTCCCGGTGCTTGGTTAGGTGGGTGGGAAAGGGGTGGGGATGGGGGCGGAAAAAGGCGGAGGGGGGCAGTTGCGCCCCGACTGGGAGAGGCGAGGTGGGTGCCCCCCTCGGGCCAGGTGAGCGCCTGCTTGGCTCTAGGTTGGGCCTGGCTAGGTGGCGGCTGCAGTTGAGTAGTCCTGGAGCCGTCTAGTCCCTCAAAACGGAAAGTGTCGAGGTAACTTTTCAGGTAGCCCTGGTACCTTGGGCCATGGTGGTTATTCTTCGCCCCTTTCCCAGTCTTGCAATATTAGTGCCTAACTGCACGCTTCGAATTATTGGATTAGGCCCTTCGGAATGTAGCACTGATTTATTAAGCTATAGAACAAACATATCTAGATTCTGTTCATTTTTCTCTGAAAACCATGGAAACTTGAAGCCCTTAACCAAAGCCTTTTTCCTAGGGTGTCACTATTCACCAAACGCTTGTCCACCCCTAATTCATAAGCGTATGGCTCTGCATTTAGCAGAGTTTTAAAAAATACATTTATTTTGTCAGAGTAAGTATCAAATATTAGTAAAATTTGTAAAAGAATTTTTCGAGCCTAGTCTACCCTTTATTTGGTTTCTGGAGATTTAAGATGAAAGCATTAACCAGAAGGGTTTACCTATAGTAATAGGTTATTTACAACTTGGGAAAAAACCCATCTTTCAACAAACTGAGTGGTCTGAGTTTTACATTTTTTCTTAAAGTTTATTTTGAGAGAGAGAGAGTGTAGGGAAGGGGCAGAGAGAGAGGGAGAGAGTCCCAGCAGGCTCAGTGCTGTCCGCGCAGATCCTGCCAGCAGAGCCCAGCTCTATTCCACCAACCGTGAGATCACCACAGAAGCCAAAATCGTCAAGTCACTTAACTGAGTGAGCCACCCAGGCACCCTGAGTTAAAATTTTATTTTATGTTTTTAATTTTGAGAGAAAGAGAGCACAAGCAGGGGAGGGACAGGAGAGAGACTCTGAAGCAGGCTCCAGGCTCCAATGTATCAGCTTAGAGCCCTAGGGAGGCTTGAACCCACGAATGAGAGACCCAGGCACCTTGTGAGTTTAAAATTTTTGTGTTAGTTTTATTTATTTTTTATTTTGAAATGTTTATTGGGGCACCTGGGTGGCTCAGTTGGTTAAGTGGCTGACTTTGAAGCCCTTCATCGGGCTCTGCTGACACTCAGAGCCGGGAGCCTGTTTCACAGGTTTCTGTGTCTCTGTCTCTGCCTCTCACCTGCTCATACTCTCTCACTCTCTCTTTCAAACATTAAAAAATCTTTTTAAAGATGTTTATTTATTTTGAAAGAAAGGGAAGCAGAGGGAGAGGGAATCCTCAGCAGGCTTCACGTTCAGCACAGAGCTGGAAACGGGACGTCATCTCACGACCTTGAGATCATACGTGACCTGAGCCAAACAGTGAGGTCCCACACTCAACCAACTGAGCGACCCAGGCACCCAAGTTAGTTTTATTTTGAAAATTACCTGTGTAGAATGATTTTTCTTGAAGTCAATTAAATGTAAAAATTTTAGGACTCCAATATAACAACCATTTACCATTATTTTAGAAGAATCACAGTACCGTGTTAACACATGATCCTAAGAAATCTAAGTTGACATTTCTTTCTCAGTTTTTAACCACATCAGGGGCCTCTGCAGAAATATTCAGGATTGACCAACTGCTGATAATGGAGTTGATTTTCTTTTTCTTACTGATTGTGACAAACCATTGCTTTCTTAGAGTTTTCAGAGAAAAGATGATTCCTCATCTTTGGGTTTATAGTTCACAGCTTAATATCTCCACCAAGGGTAATCACAGGAGAGGTAGTGATGTGACATGATATATAACATTCTTGGAAAATTGATTAGGGAATAGGATACTTCATGCAAATAATTTTTTTTATGTTTATTTATTTTGAGAGAGAGAGCTTGTGAATGAGCAGGCAAGAGGCAGAGAGTGAGGGAGAAAGAGAATCCCAAGCAGGTTCTGTTCTGCCAGCACAGAGCCCAATGTGGGGCTTGAACCCACGAACTTGGAGTTCATGGCTTGAGCTGAAACCGGGAGTCGGATGCTTAACTCGCTGAGCCACTCAGGTACCCCCCATACAAATCAATTTTGTGGCAAAATATAGGTGCCTCTCCCACCTCTCTCCCCGCCCCCAATCCTGTCTTCTGCCAGATGACATTATGAACTACTTCTTGAAATCTTTGTTTGTGGCAGACTAAGTCTCACATCTTTCTGAGAGTTAAAATGCCTTGATGGCCTAAATAGATTTTTTTTTTAAGTTTGACACTGATTTAGAGGTAAAGTCAAGGCAGGCTGCAAAAGATGATTTGAGGATTTTATAAGGATAGTTTCTTGTTCTGTGTCCTGTAATCTAATATTATTTTATTCATAATTATTGATCTATTATAATCTAATAACCTATTATTAATTTGTTACACGTTACTTTATCAAAACTGGTGTTTCTAAAAGTATGTTCATCGATCACTTCTCAGCCTTTTGGCTAAGATCAAGTGCAAAAGTATGTTAAGAGCATTAAGTCTGTGTGCGTATTATAATAATTATGCAAAAAGGATTCCATTATTAAATACACTTTTGGGAAATGTTAGACTATACATATTCAACTAGGTTTTATCATTGTACATCTCCGAGCCTTTCTATCATACATATGTACGTACACACATACATGTTTTATAAGTCTTCAAGAGAGTGGCATTTCACAAGTTTGCTTGTACAAAAAAACTTTGCAGACTATGTCAGAGATAATCTTTTGAACTTTTTTTCTTGGTTTTGGCTTTTGTTTTGAACACCTTTTAAAGAGAGACTAAATTATATCCTTTTTGAATCTCTGAGGATGCAGGTAGGAATTGCGAGGTGTTTGTTCTACTTTGGACTTTATTAGTCACATTAGGTGAGTGGAACGTGTAGCCCCACTTCCTGTGGAAATGAACTTGAGTATTGTATACGGGTGACTTGTATACTCGACATCCTCAGAAACTCTGGGAGGTGTGTGCACTGTCTACATTTTACTGTTAGGAAACTAAGGTTAAAAGTTAAACCACTACTATACCTAGGATTTGAACCCAGATTGTCTGTCTCAAAAACTCTTATTCTTTACTTTATTGCTTTTGATCTCTAAACTGGAAACCATAGTGCTTGTTCCTTGTCTTTTCTTGGCTTCTGTGTACGTTAAATGACACGGTTGATGTGAGAGCACTTTAATCAACACGAAGTATTATAAAAGGATATGGTAACAAATTTCAATTTATACTACCTCTTAGTGATAGGTTTAGGAGTAAACCCTTGAACCATAATGGCTATACTTGAGTCTTTATTTGGAGATTTGGTTCTATAGTTGTATATACTTGAAAATTGAATATTGTCAAAAACTGCTCTCTGAAAGACCCTTAGAAGTCATTCCTTAGAGGCTGATTTCTATTTTCAGTAAGTCATGCATTTATTTTTCTTTTAGGGTGGTAACATATGCTTGCTTCCCTTTATCATCTGAGGAAGTAGTTGGTTTGGGATTAGGTGGTATAAATGAAAAATATGTTGTGTCAAACATTGGCCTCATACTGAGCCACTCACATGGTAAGAGACATTGGGGAACTGAGACTGTTCTACTGGGCAACAGAACACCCCCACTAAGCGGAATAACAGACAGATTGACAGCACTGGCTCTGGTTGTTTTTTCCTTTATTCCTTTTTTTTTGGCTGAGCACTTACAGTTAAATGTGTATATGATGTACTTTAACTATTTAAGATAGCACTTAGCAGTTTGAGATAGCTCATGGATTCCCTAGACTCCTCCCAGTCTGGGAAGTGGTATTCTCCGGACAGCCTGCTGCTCTGTCATGGCATGCCTCAGCCCTTAG